TTAAAATAAAAAATTGCATCTCTTCTAATAAAAATTAAATAAAATATTTTAGAGGTGAATAATAAAATAAGTGAGATATTTTTTGAAAAAATTATTTCCTTAAAAACTTTTAATTTAAAATTGTATAAATTTCTATTTCCTCTGTCTGTAATCGAGCCAGCTTGATATTTTTAAAAGAATTCATATTTTAATGTATGTAATGTAAAATAAACCATCGTTAATAAAAAAAATTAAATTGTTTAAAAGTTATTGGGGAAAAAAAGAACAAATTAGGAAAGTAGTTTCACATTAGTTTTTTTTTCGTTGCATTTATCAATTTATTTTATTTTGTCCAGGGCACATACAGAAATTTTCTCAGTAGGAGAGGGAGGGGAATCCAACAGGAAAAAAAAACATTTCTCAAAATATTTCAAAAATCATGTTCCAAATTTTTTCTGCAATTTTTGAAATTTTAAGAAACAAAATCAATGATTTTTCCATTGTCACTAAACCAGCAAATTTCAAAACAAAATTTGCAATTTTAACAATATTTAAATTTTAAAAAAGAAAAATTTAAAAATCCTACTTCATTTTATTTTTTCAAGAAAAGGTAGTACTTTATTTACGTCACACTTTAAATTCTTAAAATTTTCTATGGTATAAACACACACTAACACAAGAAAAAAACAATTTGCTATTGTGTTATATATATATATATAATATATATATATATAGCAAATGATGTATGAATTATATTTTGCAAAATGTATCTTGCAAATATATTTCAGCTCACAATGTCACAAAATTTTAAAATACACATAAGGAAAATGAACAAATGAATAATTATTTCTTGTAGTTTTTTAGGGGAGAAGGTTTCAAGAATTTTAAAAAAAAAGCTATAAATAAATAAAATTTTGTGTTAAGAATTATTTGTCTCCAGTAAAAATTTTAAAAGTCAAAATCTCAAATAGATCCATTTTCTATGTATAGACCAGTTTACTTATAACACTTCAGAATGACAAAATTGATATTTTTTAATAAGAAAGTATCAATTCTCAAACCAAATATCCTTGTATGTTTGCATTAAATCAAAATGTTAACACAATTTTCTCAAATATAAGATATGTAATAAAAAAATAAAACTCCTAAAAATAAAATCCCAATAACAAAACCACTTTGTAAACATCATCACTTCACCTTACGACCAAGCTTTGGTTTGGCTAATTATGTTTACACAGGATGTGAATTTTGACAAGCACAAGCAATCCCTGCCTCTTCTCGAGCAATATGAAGTTAGTTTCGTTTTAAGCAAATTTTAAGTTATGATTTTAAGAAATTCAAGTCAATTTTGAATATACTGAGTTGATTTTCGAGTGTTTATATTATAGACTATTCTAAATAATCAAAATTACAGGATTAGCAACACATTCAGGTTCCTCATTGGGACACAGCTGCGTCTCAATAAGTCAGATACTTAAAATTCGATTTCTCAGGAACTATTGGTTCGATTTGGCTCAAATTTTGTACTTCATCATATAAAATTATATCCTTTAAAATGATGTAAAAAATTTTATACCTTACAATTAAAAAAAAATTTTTGACCATTCTTAATAAATATTTACTAGAAGTTATTTTTTGCATGAAATTATCTTTAGATTAGAATTTAATTATCTTTAGATTAGAATTTAAATTTTTCAATTAAAAAGTAGTTTTTGAGATATAGCGAGAAACATAAAATTAACATTAAGGGGTCCAAACTTTGGAGTGCTCTCCTGATCAAACATCAGTAATCCGAATCCGTCAAAAAAGGTATGTATATTCAGGGAAAGTATGTTTTTGTGACTGATTTTGCAACTTAAAATATCGTCTGCACTTATAAATTAGCATATTTGAGATCATCCCTTCGAGCCAGTAAGATTGAGTCCTAGAACTAGAAAATCTGATCATTAGATCAAAAGTTATTCAGGGTGATCCGTTTTTTTTTTCTTTCTTTTTTTTTGGTGCACTGTAGTAATTAAATGACAACAGTATATTTGTATACAAAAGAATTTGTCACTTTCACAAACAAACCATTTAAAAGATCCTGATGAAGCAATTTGTAATTGTTAAATTACAAAATGAAACAAGTTAAAAATACAAAATAAGACAAGTTGTTAAAATAAATATTTACAATGTAAACAAGGATAAAAAGTATTAATAGCTTTAAAAATATATAAACAGCGTCATCATAGAATTTCTATTCATGCAGAAACAAATGTTTTGGTTAGAATTTAAAAATGGGTAAGTCTTGGTTTGGCGACAAATTTCTTTCACTTTCGCTGAAACCAAATTTCCAGTTACCCAGTACCGTGATATTCTTTGCTTTATTTGACTTCAGTTTACCAACAACTTTTGTTTGTCAAGATATGATTTGTTTTTAGCTTTTGATATAGATTATTTTAAAAAAATCGCAAAAAAAAAAAAAGAAAGAAATGCATCCCAGTGTAAAATTTTACCTAAGTTCCAAACAAAGATAGTAATACTGCATAAGAACAGTGGTAACATTATACAAAAAATGTACCAAAAAATAATAATGGAAATTAATAGGTGACCAAATAAGAAGTCCTTATTCTTTACTGAAAACCGGAAGAAACTTCAGTTTTTAGTTAGAACTTTTAAAGTATAAGTTCAAATGAATAAACTTGAACTGTTTAGAAAATGTCTATGGATCCTTAAAAATTCATGTGTACATTCAAATCGATTTCACTTTTATTTTATGTAAGATTACATTGGTAAGAGAAAAAATTAGTTTAAATTGACACAGGGTTCCCACTCAATTTTTAAAAAAAATTCAAGGACTTTTCAATGACTTTCAAGGACCTAAAATCAAATTTTTCAAGGACCTATTCGGTATTATTGTTATATGCCATGTCAACCAGATTTTACAGTTACGTAGAAGCAGAAATTTTATATTTTTAAATCACAATGCTTATTTGACAACAAGTAAAAAATTATTTAGTAAATTTATCAGCTAATAATACAAATGGTTGATAGTTACATTGCTGTTTCAAATCANAAAAAAAAAAAAAAAAAAAAAAAAAAAAAAAAAAAAAAAAAAAAACTCCAATTGATATAGGATACTAGCCAGCATTTAAAACTAGCATCAGTGAAACTTTTCATGAAAAATGTAATGAAGTGAATTAGAATTAATGTAACTGAATGAATGTATAATGCATATTACATTAAACAAGTATAGTAAATAATTGATAAAGTTTGTGTAATTGCACGGTTATTAAAATATAAATACCTTTTTTTAATATGTTAGATCAAATCTTAGATTACAGGAAATGTATATAATTAGATAAATTATGAAAATATATCCATTTAACATATCTGTTTCAATTTTAATATCAAATTTTCCATTTTGTTATTCAGAATATCAGTAATGTATTTTGAACATAATAAAATCTATTGTAGAACAATATTTTACAGATAGCTAACTAAGACTTACCGAGCTTTATTTTCTTTAAAATATATCCATAAAATGTGAAGCGTGATTTTTAAAATTTTGTGAATATGCGTAATTTTCACTAAACATTATTTTTAAATCACATTTATACGAACCTAGACATTCTATATGACGCCCGGTTGCTGAGTGGTAGCGCTTTGCCCCAGAGCCCAAGGTCAAGAAAACTGAGATTGGCACTGTCGCACCACTGAGTTCAGTTTAGTTTTAGATATACTATATGTAAATCAAAATTATAAGAAAAGTGAAGTAAGTCTCGAAGATTGTGTAAATCACGTATCGTAAGGTGCGATTTATAAATTGAATTGCTGTGTATGTTTTTTAAAATCGGAATAATAACAAAGCAAATGATACAAAACGCTCGAAATAACAAGACATAAATCATAATGTGAGACACATAAATCACTTTAATGTGAATTCGGTTGTGTGATTAGCTAATAGCTTTCATGTGAATAATGATCATTATGATGCAAATTGCTATTTGTGATTCGAAAGGTACTTAATATAGAACAGCTATATGTGTGGTTCTTAAATCATTTTGATAAGATCATTTTCGTTGCGCGTAAATTGAAAAAACAAATAGGATACCAATATTAACCTGTCATAATAATGAAGTGAACATATTTCTAAATCAATTAAACACTATATATATCATTCAAAAACTATGACTACAAAACCTAAAATTGGATAGAAATTTCAGCTTTCAAAACATCAGAGAGATGAACAATAATCTGGTCTGAAAAATCTAGGAGAGAAAAGTATTGCATCTTCTTCAAACCCCTTTTCACTTCAAGCAGTAAAAATTGCATTAATCATAATTTCTATAATTTTCCTTTGAATTTATTCATTATTTTTTTACTACTTTTTTTGTGTGAAAAATTAGTAGTATTTCAATTCCTAAAAAATTAAGTACTTTTCAAGTACCCAATGGCAGAATTCAAGGACTTTTCAGGGCCCTGATTCTTTTCAACCAAATTCAAGGACTCTCAAGGTTTTTCAAAGTACCGTGGGAACTCTGATATTTCCATATAGCTATGAGGATTATTTAAGAACTAAGATCAGAATCGCAGCAGCTAATAGAATAGTGGATTGACTATTGGAATGTTTAACTCATTAAACAATGCCATTTGAATTAATTTTGTTGCAATGTCATTTCAAAATGTTTGAAACAAATTATTAGACTTCCAACAGTTAAAATATTCAGTGTAAGTAAATAGACAGACTGGAAGCAGAAACAATGGTCCATTAAATGCAATAAAACTTTCTCCAACCCATCGGAAACTTCAGTCAGCTCAATCAATATTTTATGTTCAACATGTTCACATTATAAACACTTAAAAGCATTGTATTCATATACAACTTAGAGTAGAATTGAAAAATAGTACACATGGAAGGAATTACTGTTAAATGTTTTAATGTTAACAACTGTATATATCTATACAAAATATGTGTAGTATAATAATTGAATGAAAGTAGTAACTCATTATGAACAGTTTAGAAAAATCATTATATTTACCACCAACCATCATGTTCTTAATTTTATTTTCATAATCTTCTATTCTTTGATCGACTTCTCTCAACCTGGCATTATATTTGTTAATAAGGTCAGTCGCTACTTCCAGCGACTTATTACGAGAAACCTAAAAAAAAACGAAATTACATTATCGAATTTGCACTTAAAAGTTTTATTGAAAAGGCATTACTTCCAAATAAATTGAGAAAAACAAAAGTCTCATCAATTGTTATAAAAAATAATCATTTTAGCAAGTAAACTCCATTGCAAATATTTCACACGGTAAAACTAACCAGCAGAAAGATAAATTCATATATATTATAAAGTCAATCAAGTTAAACTGTAGACCATTAAGTGATTAAAAAAAGAAGAGTGATATAAATTACTCGTTTAAGGGCAGTGAAAAGCATGTTTTCTATTACTTTCATTTGCACACATCTTATTATTTCAAATCTTATTTAGTACTGTTTAATCAAAAAAGGCTATAAGACAGTATAGAACCGTGATGGCCCAAGGGATAGAGCGTTCGCTTTCCAATGAGGCAAACCGGGTTCGAATTCCAGTCAATGAGAATTCTGCATCCGGCTTGCTTTAACCACAATGCTGACGTGGAATATCCTCAGTGGTAGACGGATAATGGGTTAGAGTCCCCTAACCGTCAGGCTAAATGTGGGAGGTTCTCGTGGTCTTCCTCTCCATGTAACACAAATGCGGGTTAGTTCCATCAAAACGTCCACCATGAATTCAAATTTCTCCCTATACTCGATCCAGGAGTTCCCTTGTCTTCTGGATTAGGTTCAAAATTACAAGGCTACGGCGTTGAACATTAGTAGTCGTAAACCCATAAAATTGGGTTGGCTGATCAACAACGGTTATAAGTGCTTTTTCAATCATGAATTCGATAGTTAAACTTAACGGGGTTTGCATATAGTCAGATTTTTATGCTCGTTAATTTTAACATAGAAGTTGTTCCATAAAAGCCCCCCGCAATATTATTGAAATATTTAATACTCAATGTGAATGGCATAAACTCAGCAAATCACTGAGCATATGGCTTTTAAATAATAATCCCATAATCATCCTATCTAAACTAAATAATCAGCCCTTCAGGGAAGCACAATAAAGTTGTGATACTCATGTTTACCTAATGATGGAAAACCTCTTATAACAAGAAAGATATGCAATCTCCCTTTACTTTATCTCATATTTTATTGCATGAAAGAAATTCTTGTAAATTATATCGCAATACATTCACAGAGGATGATAATCATCATTTCCATTCTCAAGCAACACTTCTGTTTTACATTGCTTTCTTATACTGATTATATTGCTTTTTTAGGAGACAAAAAAGAAATCTGATTTTCTAATATAAAAAAGAGCTATTGCATTATATCTCCTAAAAAAATTCCTATTAACAGGGATGAGATTAGCCAAAAGGTAAAAAAGCTGAATTTCAACGATAGTAAATTTTATGCAAGCACAACCCTTTAATAATAAATTCCGGACAGTTTAAGGTAATAAATAATGTGTTGACATACAATTGTGTAGGAATCTATTATTATATAAATGATTACATTGATACTCAATATTTAGTGAAAATAAAAATTGCCAATTAAAAAAATAAAGCTGGAAATTATATTTTTCCTCAGTTCACATAAGATACAATTATTACTTGAAAAACTGCCTGGTTTACCAAATTAAAACTACTGAGAATATACATTAATATTTCATTTCTTTTAATAAATACTGTTATGTGATTTATAGCAAATATATCAGTAATATTACTTTTTAAATTATACTGAAAAAAAAAACTTTAACAGTGGACCGAATCATTATGTTCATATTATAGTCTAATCTAACTAGAGCCCTCTGACAGTGAAGTAGAAATATATAGTAACTACTTAACATACAAAAATTGCTAATTTAGTTTGAAAAATTACATGACAATCTGCAACTGTTTAGATAATTAATTTTTATTTGATAAGAATTTTGCATTTTATAGCATAAATAACAGCAATTATAAATAAAATTTTTGATGATGAGTTAATTAACTCTTCTTCCAAAAAAAAAATAACTAAATTAAATCCCTTTTTAAGTGATTGCTTTTGTTTGCTATATCTTTTATGTTTGCTATATTTAGTCGTTAGTCCATCTTAAAAATATCTTGTGACAAATCCTATTTTTTCTTCTTTGCAAGCACAGAATGTAAGTTTTGAATATATTCCCTTCCAGTTTCTCTGATGTTGTCACACCTACATATACTAATAATCGACGTTAGAAAAACAGTCACCTTTATAGTAACCAATTTTTAAAAAATATTTACTTCTTACAAGAATCGCAATAGTTGATCTTAAAATTGCGTGAATATGAATAACAATTATGGATTTTGAAATCACATGAATATGAAACTAGATATACGATTTTGAAAATGAGAAAATACAAACTGGGATATAGAATTTTTAAAACGCGTAAATACAAATCACGATTCATAATTTTTAGATCGCGTAAATACGAATCATGATGTAAAATTTTTATATTGCATAAATAAGAATTATGATGCATAATTTTTAGAATGCGTGAAAGCGAATCCCAATGCCTTTTTTTAAAATCACGTATAAATAAGAAAATCAATGTTTGATATTATAAACCACAGGAGCAAATCAAGACATTGAATTTTAAACTTACGTGAATATGAATTGCTACATAGGTTTTTAAAAAGTAGTAAATACGAATCACAATATCGGATTTTTAAATCTCGTAAATAAGAATCGCAACATACAATATTCAAATCGCGTGAATAAGAAAAGCTATGTTTCATATTAAAATTGTGTGAATAAGAATCGAGATATTAGCAGATTCCAGGCTTGGGACCTCTAAAAGGCTTGTCAGAAACAGCGTTGTTTGAACTACGAAAATCGGATCTATTTGGAGGGCGGGTAAAAAATTCGGAAAATCTTATCTGCTGCTTGTAAAAGGGGAGAAAATAGCTCAAATAAGTAAAAATGAGAAAGGATTGGTAGCTATGTGGTTTGAATTTTCTGTTTCTCTTTGAAAATCAGTGAATTTTCAGAAAAAGCGGAATACTTAAAAAAGTGAAATTTTTAGAAAATCTGAATTCTTGATAAAAAAGCTGAACTTCAAGAGATAAAAGTGAAAAAAGCGGAAATCCGCTAAAAAGCCGAAAAATCTCATCCTTGTATTAAAGATTCAATCTGAAAAAAAAAACTTTAACGATTGATTATCATTTCATTCTAATGAAAATTATCTAAATAAAAAATATTTTGTACTAATAAATAATAATCTGGTTCTAATGAGCAAATTTTGATTCGGAATATAATTTACACCTTTCAGGAGCAAAATGTTATTAGTAGATTGACAATGAATTCAAATTTAAAATCTGCTGTGAATTCTCTATTTCTTTAAACATGTTTAATCATAACATTCATAATTATTATATCTATTGATAGACAAAACAAAAAATTTTAAAACCAGAAAAAGTGCTATATTTGAGCTATCAAGGCTTTTGGTTAAGACAAATCAAATAACTGTATGAAGGAAAAGCTTCAATGTAATTCGATACTGAAAAATAATCTTATTTTTGCTTTCAGCTATTAATAAAAAGAAATTTTTACATCAACATTTGAAGTCATTGGTGATTTTTGGTCTGAGACCACTACATTCCCTTTTGGACAACCAACGCATCTGCCTTAAACAGATTGTAGAATGATAGTAATTTTATTCAGTTGGAATGGTATGATAAAGTTTAGAGTGTAATGAAATAATTCAAAGTAGCATAATTCAATGATTTGATTGTAAATAATGGGATCAGCTTCTTAAAAAAAGTTGCACAATGCATTGATTAAATAAAAGGATAAAAAAGTATAAGTGAATTTCAAAATTATTGGCTGCTAAATTAAAAATGGCTAGAGTTTGATGCAGGATGAAACAAATTAAATTGCATAGTATGCATTATTATTTAACATTAATATTTATTTTTCTAAATTTTATTTAAATAATAACTGAAATATTAAGTATTTTATTCAACTGTTAAATACATTTGTTAAAATTAATCAAGTTTTATTCAAAATAAACTTATAAATATGATGTTATTATGAAGCATGAAAATGATTTTAAATGATGTACAAATATATTTAACATTAAATTTTGAATGGATCAGTGATATTGTTTGATTTTTTTCCTAGGTCAGGAGATTGGCCTTATGCGCCATTTCCTCTCTAGCAGTCCAGTATAAAACAGCCTTCAAAAGATAGTTGTCAATAGGTAAAATAGTATTAGTCATAGAGGCACAATTTGCCAAGTGTTCAAAACTCATCACTTCGCCTGAAGAGAACAGAGCAGTCAGAAGATTCCGAAACACCAAATTGGTGAAGGTGAGTCTCAAGATAGTCCTGCCTAGTTAACGCACAAAAGTTTGCCTTGAAAATCTGCCGGCGGAGGTCCATGGGTAAAAGATTACGAAGGAGGCTGGACCAAATCTTTCCTACAACATCAACATCTTACACATTCTTGATATATTAGTCAATCGTCCTCACAGTGGTGGAGAAGATCTGATTGTAGTAGAGAGCGAAAGCGGCTTTTCGCCAAGCGATTGGCTCTCTCATCTCCGAGAATGTTGTAATGTCTGGGGAGCCACTTCAGTGATATTGTTGGTGAACCAATACAAATGATGGTTATTGGTCCAAAGAACCAGTAACATTTTTTCTTTATTATTTCTAAAAATGTATATATATTTATAAAATGAGGTTATAATTTAGCCAGCAAAAATCTACTGGCAGAAGATTTTTTGTTTCCAAGCAGGAGAATTATATTTCTCAGAAGATGCTTTACAACTTATTTTTTGCACCTCCTCTACAGTTTTTGCTGAATTTGACACTCAATTAGAGCCCAATATCTATTACATGTTTCTCAAAATACATATAAATTAAAAGATAGAATTAATTAGAAAAAATTGTAACAAAAATCATAAGAAAATTTTTAAAATGATACAAAAGTCAATATACATCTTTAACACCAATAGCACTTCTTAAAACAGCATAGCACATTGAAACCTTCTCACGTCGCACTCGCTCCATATTGTTATGATTTCTTTTCTAAAAATGAAGAAAGATGGCTTTTAAAAATCAGAATAGATTAAAAACAAGAAATAAAATATCAAAATGATGTAATAATTTTCCTATGGAAAGAATTTTCAGGCATTATCAAGAATTTCAACTTTTTTTTATCAGCTATTTAATGTTTTTTTTTTCTTGTTGTTGGAAGAATTAATTCATTGCAACATAGAGACTATTTTAATGATTTATTACAAAACTAACCAACAAAGCCTTTCAAATTAGCCCTTGATCAATCTTACATATTAGTAAAATATTAGAAAAAAATGGCAGAAAATTTATTCAGCCATATTCTATAACAGCAAGTTACTGATCAATTTACAGTGTTTCTTAAAAGTATTAGAATGTAATCAATTCATAGTTAAAGTTCTGCCTATGCAAAGGGTTTAGCATTTACATTAAAATGTAATCGCTTATTTGTGCAAATAAAATAAAACAGAATAAAAGAAAACTACAAAAATCAATACGATAAATAAATAAAAATTATAATTTCAAAATTTCAATGACAAACACATTTATCTGATACGTAACAAACTTTGTTTTCTTATTTTTTTAATAATAGTGAAAGTTAACTATTCGGATACACATAAAATTAAATTACTTTTTCTTGTATGCCTTTAAATTTATTATTATTTGCTTTAAAATCTAAAATGCATATTTATTCACAATTATTTTTATTACCAGATTTTTATTATCAGATAAATTAACATTTGAAACACTCATTCATATTATTTTCAAACAGAATCTAAATACTTCCTGTGTCTTCATAATTTAAGCATTATGTTAATGTTGGCCTCTAACACTGTATTTTGTAGTCTTTGCGTATAGCCATTTAAAAATGGTCCTGCATCACTACTACTAAATATGAAAAAATAGTGCACAATGTTTTGTTAAAAAATGATCACAGCTCATCATGAATCTTGCTAAAAATCTGGCATATAGGAGCATAAAAGTATGTATTACATATTTAATATTAAGTTTAATCTTTTAAAACCATATATTTTAATTTAAGAATTAAAGAGTTGCACTTGACAACTGACCCCAGCAAGTACCAATATGGAATTACGTGCATACATTGTTTAGCTGGAGGTTACTATAAATTTTTCAAGAAATAAGTATATTGTCTAGAAGCATTGTTCGCAAGTTTCTAATATCGATTAATCAAGATTCGTTTCTTTCTTAAAAAACTTAGAATGTCATAGGCGTCGTTCAGCAGACAGATGACAAGTACAACATGTACCCCTTAATAATTAGAAATCTCTTAATGTCTCTTTCAATATTTCAGACAAATAAATAAAATTTTCAATAATTATCTTCAATTTAAACTCAAGAAATATAAAATCAAGAGAGAAATTAATTGTTTTGCATATGATTAGCAAATTGACAAATAAGATTTTTATGTATGAAATTTAGAGAATTAGTGTGTACATTTTAATTTAGCCTCCCTCAAAAATTTGGGAGCCAGCTTAATAGTGTTTCTGTCACTACATGTGTACAAATGAAAGGCATCTATTTTGTACATTTTCTCTTTATTGATAATGGGCACATTTTGGAATGAAATTTTTAAACTAAGCATTTGAGGGGAATTATTATAGCCTTCATCTATCAAAAGGTACCTCTGGTGGAATCGAGTTAACATGTCTTATGTACTAGGGAATTGGTATTTAACATTTATAGTGGTAGTTACACCACATTACTCCCCTTTCAGAATTTTATCTGCGAATTCGATGAACGGATTAGTATTAGTTGATTCATGCTATTTATTTATTTTTACATCAATTTTGCTCATTATATTTTTTCTTCCTTTTTTGCTTATAGCATTTCTCTCATTTTTTTCTTCTTTTGATTTTGTTCATTTTTTTTAAAGCATTTCGCTCATTATTTTTTCTTTCTTCATTTTTTGTTTATTGACCGGTAGACTTTATTTACTTCACCTGAATTTCTTTTTATTTGAGCAGTATATTTTTAAGCTAATCAACTGTTTAATTTGGATCATCCATCAATACTGACAAATTCTTATCGAGCCAGGAGGTCACCAATGGGGTAATTATTTATAGACTATGTCAACCTTCATTTATCAAAACGTACCTCTGGTGGAATCGAGTTAACATGTCTTATATACTAGAGAATTGGTATTTAACATGTATAGTGGTAGTTACACCACACATTCTTTAAGAATGAGGGGGGGGGGGTATTTCAATTCATTTTGCATTCGCAAATCTTACCACTGAAATAATAATGGGAAATTAATATTGGAAGCCTATAGCGTAGTGTGAATTTACAGCAAATATAAATGCTTTAGAACACTAAAAGTCACTACGTCATACTTAAGAAATGCTTCTAATACAATAATTCACTTTTGCTACAACTCACGAACCTTTTTGACAGTTTTAGTTGTTCTTCCATTCTGACGAGATCGTGCTGGAACCATAGGTACTATACGTTTCCTAATGAATTTATTACTATCAGAACTGTCTTCTTCATCATCGTCGTCGTCATCTTCACTGTCTTCTTCCTCTTCTTCACTTTCGACAGCATATTCTCTTTCAGTCGGAACAGGATCTTCCTCACCTACATCAATTTCTTCATCGGTAGTTGAATCCTCATTAGAATCATTCTTGCTGTCAATAAATAAGCTTTTAGACAATAAACTGTTATAATGGCAAGTATCCATTCTTTTACATACTTTTACAACTAATCAAAATAGTAAATAATGGTTGAACCGCGTGCTTTGGATTGTTTTGTTTATTTAACAGAGAAATGCTTCCTCTTGACTATTTCTGTGTATATCAAGACTCTTTTTCCTTAACATTGCGCAATAAGTTTTTTGTTCTTGCTGCATTAAATTCACACATGCGTTGATATGATATACTTTTTTCACGTGCATTAAAGCAATCCTTGGTGCAATCTTCCATTATGCGATTCGCGCGTGCGACATTAGAGAAATCAGATGCTGAAGGAATGACCCATAAAATGCAGTTTTTTCTTACTCTCAGGAGTGCGACGGAAATTTGAGGTAGTGAGAACAGTCTCTGAAGACGAAGAGTGAAAAAACTCTAGGGTGTGTGGAAAGAGGGGTTTAAATTGAACTTAGCTCTGTTTTCTTATTTTTCCATTAAGTCTGCTTTATGTAAAGGAATAAATAAATCATAACAGAAACCTTAGGGACAGTTCTCACTGTACAAATTTCTTGCACATCCGATTAACCGTCGAAAGAAAAGGAGAACCTGATTAGTGAGTTTTTCTTTTTCAGGACAATATTTTTTACCAATCTGCTTCACATACTCAGTCGACGGGGATTGTAGTTGTGCGAGTTTCATGCAGTAAGAGACCCTTTAAGATCCGATCATATGGTAACTTAATGTCCCTGATGCATATACGAATGTTTAGAAATTCACAACGCGAACGGGGCGGAACAGCTAAACTATTTTAGTTTGATGTTAATGCTTGCCTCATCAGTACGACTATCTTCGAAGCAAGGAATGAGGTTCAACTGTTTCTCTTACAAATCGAGCTTTGCTTTGTACATTTATGAGGAAGAGAAAATCTCTTCGCACACTTTAGAACCAGTTTTTACATTCTGAGCAAAAAAAAGTGACTTTTATGAGGAAAATATTAACGTTTTGGTTTTAAGATCGGTAAACGATTAACTTAGCTACGTCACGAAATAAAAAAATTTCTAGTTGTCCATTGCATGTATGACGAGTTGCTCGCACTTGCAGAAATCGCATTTACAAACTACATGCATTGAGAATGCTCCATTTAAGTTTTTTGCGATTGGTTGCTTCTGCAGAAATGTGAACGTCTGACGAATCTTGAGAATGGGTAAATATTTTTGAGTGCGTGAAACATGCTGACCTTAATAACCATTTTCACATTTTTTTGAAGCAGATAAAATTTTTATGGTTGGTTTATTGGATTTACATACATTTGCAGGCTTGTGTGCTCAATTTAGACTTATAAAATAGTGGCAAACTTTAAAATATTAGAAATTATTTTTTCATGATTTAAATTAACCAGATGCGAATTTATTTTTTTTTTTCAGATAAATGGCATTCCACTTCTGTCATTTCTATTCAATCCTCATAGCTAAAATCGTTTAAAACTGTGACCAGGTTAAACAGCCACAAAATAAAATACACTGAAGAATGTACTACCATTAACAACCTTTATAGAAATTCAAATATATAATTTCAATCTTATTATGATATTTTAACACTTTTTATTTTCCTATACATCTGGTATCATTATGGTACTTGTAAGTTTGATAATTAGATTTTCTTTCCTTTTTTTCGTACAAATCTTTCAACTCAATAAACCTAGGCCATATTTTTAAGCTTTTTGTCAGACTTCATGAACTAATAGCATTTTTTATAAATTTTTGACGTTGATTCTGAAAAGGACTTCCGTTATTGCCAATCACATCAGAGTTTCCTAAAAAATAATAATTTTAATATTTTTTTAATCAATGTAATCAAGAATCAACAATCGTTTAATAAATTAAAATTTTAAAGTTTTTAACCAATTTAATGCATTTTCTACACTCAATCGAATAAAACTAAACACAAGCTGATAAGGAGCATTTGTTTAGAAGTTTTAACCAATTTTATGTGGGGAAAATGTTTAAGAGAATACGATTTTAAATAATACTTTTAAAAGAAGTTGAGTAAAATATATTTTATATAACTTATAATGCCGAACAGAATAAAACTAATTGTTAGTTGCTATAAACATTTGTTTAAATATAAAAACATATCCCATATATGATGAAATTAAAAAAAAATGCACTTACTTTCAAGAAATAAATGTTTCTATTTGCAATTGATTTTTATTTAATTCACCATTAAAATTGCATAAGAAACAATACTGACTTATTTCTGAAAAATTTAAGATTTCCAAAATTCGCTAATTTTCGAAGTTGTGAACCATATACAGCTGCATAAAAATGCTCATAACCTTGAAATAAATTGTCATATAAACTTGAAATCAGAATTTATTTAATTCTGCTTAATCTTCTAATAAGTAATAGCAATCTGCTTATTAAATCATTAACAAGTGTAAATTGCGAAAAAATAACATGTAGGGGAAAATAACAGTTCTGTGATCAAACATGAAAAAGTGAGCTAGTACAGTTACTTGTTTTCAATTATCAAATATCTGGCAAACTAATGTTATCAACAATTACATCAATTCTGTAGTTTATTATGAGTGATTACTTTTTCTTTTTGGTTCAGAAGTATTCACCAGGGAAAGGCTGAGCAATAGCTTGCTAGCCACTTTTTCTTCGTTGCGGCACTTGTGCTATTTACAGCCTCTAGGTCGTCTCAGCAATATCAGGGAACTTGTGGATAAGCTCTGTAAATATATAT